GTTGATCCTAGCAGTATGCAGGACACCTGTCATATATGAACTCAGTTAAATGACCTTGTTCTCCATGAGTTCTCGTAGCTCATTGGATAGAGCGCCCGCCCGGTGTTCGGGAGGTCATGGGTTCAATTCCTGTTGGGGACTCAGAATTTTTCTTTGTCCCATGCTCGTGTCATGTTGATTAATTCACCTTTCATATATATAAAATACTTGCTAAACAACCATTATCCTCATCTACAATGGTTCATTTGCTCATTGGCATTTACCGATAGGTACAACTAGCTAATATATAATTGGGTTATAAGCCTAAGTACATGTAGCTTGCATGTTGCAAAGCTATGCTGTGCGAGCTACCATTACTTTAACAGTATTATCTAGTTTAGTTCAAAGAGTGAATTGGCGAAAAAAAGGAAATTAAAGAAATTTGAGTTCTAGGTAAACAAAATTAAACCAAAATATTAGTAATAACTGTATTGTAAATGTTTTTACATTGAGAATTTGCTTGTGCTCTCAGATTCTCTATTGTATATGTGAATGTTTATTACAACTGAACCTGTTTGCTTCCTTACAGCAATGTCGGAAAGCTTGCAAACTACCTTTTCCTGAAGTAAGAGTTCTTGTTAAGACCTTGAAAAAGAAGCATTTAATTCAGGAGGTTCATCAAGATGTAGCAAAACAAAGAGTTGCGTGGTGAGTTACTATATATAGCATTGTGCAAAAGTTATCGCATTGGACAAGTTTTATGTTGACAACAACAAGTTTATACACTGACCATCCAACATGGTGGTTCCGACTTTCTCTTATTTTGCAAGTGTTATTGGGAATCCTTAAGGTAAACCCGAATGTCCAACTTGATGGAGCTTTCTCTGTGACAAAATTAATGCAAACAATAATCAACAAATATCGTGATATATCAGCGGTATTTGAATGATACTTTGCTTGAAACGATACTTGGTGCAAGATATCGTGAAGTTATTGTTGTAGCTGTTAAGTTATTTCGCTTAGTCCTGAGCAATTTATCGTTTGCACCAAGTGATTTATCATCTGTACCAAGCGATTTATCGCTTGCACCTAGCAATTTATCATTTGCGCCAAGCCATACATTGTTTTCACCTAACGAAATATTGATACAGCTTAGCAATATGTTGTTTTTGCCCAGTGAATTTTTGTTGCAGCTTAGCAATAAATCACTTTCGCTTAGCAACATTATTCTTCTGATAATTGAGATGTTGTTGCAAAGCAATATATTGCCAACCAAATATTGCACAGTCCAACAAATTTTACTTACAGCATAACAAGCTAAGTTATGGAATTGGCAATGTGTGCATTTTGTGTCTGGCATTTCGAGCTTAAGCAAGTGCTAGTGACCTTAGCTAGATCAAACTAACTTGGACTTTAGACTTGATGTGGCAGAAATTGGAGTTAATAACCCTTTGCGCCCAGAAAACAGTATTTCAGAGATATTTTCGTTAGTTTGCAGAACTGTAGCAAAAGAACATGCAACAGAGGCACAAACATTCACAACGTGTTATTATTACCAATGTGGTCTTGTTGTAACTTGTTTTTAGTGCAGAGTGCACTATTAGGATGGTTTAGGGGGCTGCTGGGCACTAAGGTAATAAGGTAATAAGGTATTAACACAAGAAGGTGTTAACTTTAATGTTTGTTCAATTAATTAATTTCGATTAATCAGTTAGCCTTGCAGGAAGGGGGACTGGGTGGGGTAGGTACCCAAGTGCATCATGCAGAATGTGTTATACTTACATTGCTTATATGAAAACATGACCGAAGTATATATATCTTATTGCAAATCTCATGTTATCCTTGCAGTGCTATTATCTTAAAAACAAAACAATTTGCTCGAAGCGCATGTGCAGATTAGTTAGTGTCTGTGTTGACTATATGTTAGCCAAAAGATACATTTCATATGTGATCACACACAAACGTAAAGGGCTTTTCCTTGTGGCAGAACAAAACACATAAGACGCATGTGTTCTACCATTGGTAGGGTCATAAGCTCCATTCTTGAATTCAGATCTGCGCATTTCTTGAGTGATACCACGCCTCTCATTTTCACAGGGGGTAGCAGCGATATTTCAGGTAAAATCAGTTATCCCTTTTTTAGTGTAAAGAACACTACTGTGACTGCGTATCTTCTGGAATCACCCCTGGCTCAATTCAAGAAATTTTGTCTGCTGTTTTATAACTTTTGTGTGTTCGCCAGGGTTCAAATAAAGAATGGAAACATATTGCTTCTCCTTAGCAGCTTTTTTATTTCCTCCTCTGTGAAAGAGAGCAAAAAGTTCATATTCAGCCAAAACTTTCCTGCTTTAGTTACATGTAAAACTAGTAAATTTGTGACGAAGGAACTTCACAATTATTGCTGCAGACTGCGTGGCACTTACTGAAACCACCAGTTAATTTCATCAGTCTTTGAGGTGATTCGCTCACCGATGTAGGATATAATTTTGGCCAAGTAATGATCTCAACCTTCCATACCTTTTTTTATTGCAATAACATTACACTACATACAAAAATTACTTGCTCTACTTACAATGTTAACGTAACTTACAATTTAACAACACTAACAAAACTTACAATTATACTAACATTATTTACAACTTGTTAATATCTTACATTACTTTCATGTAGGGCGTTAGCTACAATAGGAGGCTTTCACCCCCTTTTTTTTGACTTAGATTTATGTTTCTCAATTTAAATTTTGTTTGTAAAACTTGCTAAAAAGGCATCAAAATAAAACTCTTCTTTTCTTGAGGCAGTGTATAGATTGTCAGAGGTTTAAGCCAAGATGAGGTGCGTAGTTATCTGTCATGCCATATATTATTTCATTTTTATTGAGAGTGATCGTATATCCGTTTTTGGTGTTCCACCAATTACTGTAGTAAAGAGAGACCAAAAAAGCTGAGCTTCAGAACACGTAACAAAAAGATGGGTTAACGTATGTCTTTCTCCACAGAGGTGACAGTTATCATGTTCCTTAATTGAATATCTGAAAAGTGTCAAATTTGTGGGTAGAATGTGATGAACTATTTTGTATTGGAAAATGGTGAGTCTAGAGTCTGGTAACATTAAACGGAAGGCTATAAATGAGTTGTATTGTATGTTCTTTTAGATTGGCTTCTTTCATCCTTCATTCAGCTGTAGGTGTAACAAATTTACTTGTAACAAAGAATTTAGGTGCTGATCTGCAAGAGAGTTTATCTAAAGATATCTTATCCTTCACAATTAAACTTCACAATTATTGCTACAGACTGCGTGGCACTTACTGAAACCGTCAGTTGATTTCATCAGTCTTTGAGGTGACTTGCTCACCGATGTAGGATATAATTTTGGCCAAGTAATGATCTCTACCTTCAGTACTTCTCGTTGAAATGCTCCTCTGTTGTATTAATTGATAGCATTGTGTATTAGTTTGACGTAAATAAGGACGCACTATTTGTGACTCGATGTGACTATTTGATTAATGTCACTATTCCATTATTCAAGCTAAGAGTAGAATGTAATGGAACCAGGTAAAAGGTAACACAACAAAATACACAAACAACAATATGGCATAATTGAGGGGGACACAGCCCTGTGGCAGATTTGACATGACTTCATGTTAGTTGCACAAACTAAAAGCCTCACAAAGGCGTCACAAGTGTCACTAGAATAATCCAAAAGCTATGGACAACTGGCTCCATTAAAAAACTGCTCTCGATTAGGATGGCCAACAAAGCTTTCAGCAGGAGTGAAGGCTTTCATTCAAAGCCAAATGCAAAAAAAAAAAAAAAAAAANAAGTTGTGTCACCTACAGTTCTGATCGAAAAGTATTGGGCTTTTCAGAAGAGTCTAAGCCAGGGTTTTGTATTTGAAAGGGATCAAGCTGTGCTGTGAGAATCTTGTGTACTTATCTGCTGTTCACCGCCTGTAGTCTATAAACCATCTTACAGACAGGCAAACATTCATAAAGTAACTTTTTTTTCTTTTTCCCTGTATTTCTTCCTAAAGAGATTGATGCAATCACTGAAAGAAGCACACAACTTGCTTGATCGACATGTGCAGTCCATCAACAAACACTGTGAGCTTGAGGCTGTTGTCCATCTCGAGCTGGACGAGATTAAAACGGAGTGCCAGACGCTAAACGAGTCGCTCAGTAAAGCACAAGAAGAGAAGCAGCTCTTAGAAGACGCATTAAAATGCAGAACGACAGAGTGGGATAAAAAGGTATTTACAGGAAATGTTGGGACAGCTAATATCTCTTCACGGCCTGTTCACATGGAGTGGGGGACCTCGGGCAGGTGAGGTTCCCCACCTTGGTGGGGTAACCAATCTGTCCATACAATCTCTCTTTTTTTCTTGATCGCGTTCAAATGTTAGGTGGGGGTACCCCACCAAGGCGGGGAACCCGGACAGCCGATCTGGGTGTCCCGCTTCGGTGGGGTGAGGTTTCTCCGTGTGAAAGCAATGGAGTTGAATAACCCACCTAACCGGGGTAATCAAATTACTGGCCAAAGCCCGCCAAAACACAGGGCAGAACAACGTGGCTGCCAACCGCTACGAGCGTGGCGGGGTCCTCCAAAACCTCCAAAGCGCTGATGAAATTCACAGTGCTGGCAACAATTTAAGCGTGCTAATTTCTTATCACTGGTTTCCACCCTTCTTCAATACAAAAACACCCAGAGAACAATTAACCGAACAACCCCCCCCTCCCCCCCAATGTTTCCTGACAAAAAGGCGCTCTAAAGCTCAATAAATTTTCTGTTAACCCTGAGGTCTGTTTTAACATGTTTGCTATTATCAGAGACAGGCTTTAGAAAGTCATCTTGAAGATCTGAAAAAGGAGTACGAATCGTTGTCAGAGGTACACAATTCTTTGGAACAACTGAATAGCAACTGGTCAGAGCAAAACATGGAACAAAAGACTAAAATAGAATCTATGCTGAATGAAGGAGGTGAACTAAAAGAGCGTCTCGCCCAAGCTGAGGAGAGAATTCAATCAGAAAAGGAAAGGAACGAAGAGCTAAAGATTACTTATTCAGATGAGGTAAAACGTGCTTTAAAAATTAGGCTAACTGGATGCTTCTCTGTAGAGTGCGTGCCATTTCCGCCTACTGTCTTCCTAAAGTTGTAGTCGATGAAATGTAAGTATGGTTCACGTAAGAATTAGTCAAGACGACTGCATTGTGTCTGTAATTTTTTTCTCTCTCTGTTTTCTTAGCCGCGCTTTATTTCACGTAATTTTCAAAAAGGAGTTCCGAATGAAATATGTTTCTATACAGGTGGGGATAGTAAGCACATGGATACCGGGCGGGCGCTATTTAATGTGATTAGATCTTTGCGTTAGTCAGAAGATAAAAAAACAAAAAAAACAAAAAAAAAACACACACACACAAACACAAAGAATTGCAGCTGCTTTTGACACAATTGATCTAAGCTGAAATTATACCTTGGTAGTGCTTTTTCCCAGTTTCTTCCCGAAGTTGCAGAAAATGGACTAACACGCCGAAATTAATTCCATTCACACAAAAACAAAAGTCATGAATTTTTGCTACAGAAAATGAACGCGGATTCTCACTCAATAAAACGCTATCAGGAATGTTGTTATATCAATGTGCAAGATACTAACTCCTATACGGTTAACACACTGAGGAGATCAAAACAAAGATGCTACTTAGTAATTTAGTAAA